TCTCTCTGTCTCTCTCTCTCTTTCTCTCTCTCTCTCTCTTTCGTCCAATTGGATTTAGAGCGTCTTTCTTTAAAAACGGGATCTTCACACACTCTAAGAATGAGGAGGCGGTCTTTCCTGTTTGGCATGTACTTTTCCAGAATGTGTTCTTGCAATTCTCTTGCGTTCATTGGTTTTCCAGTTTCTGCCCGGCATCTCTTTAAAGCAGAATCAATTCGGCTGATGATTATTTTTTGTTTATTATTATTGTGTGTATACACGCGTGCATGCCGCGGCGCAAGTGTAGAGATGAGCAGAAGGCGAACTCAGGTCCCCTGGCTTGCACGGCAAGCACCTTTACCCACGGAGCTATTTTGCTGGCCCTATTATTAGGTTTTAAAATTTTATTTTGTATGTGTGTGTTTGTGTACATGTAGCTCTGCACCGCGTGTGTTCGGTGCCTTGGAGACCAGAAGAGAACGTTGGATCCCTGGAATTGGAGTTGCCAGCCCCCATGTGTGTGTGCTGGGGATTGAACCCAGGTCTTCTGAAGGAGTAGTCAGTGTTCTTAACTGCCACCGAGGCTTCTCTCCTCAGCGACGAGGTAGAGGCCAGGTTAGACTTGAGTATAAGAGACTGTCCTTAGTTTGGAGTTCATATCTAGACTTATTAAGAGAGTTATTACATTTACACGGGGTCTCTCGTATATGTTATACTTGCCTTGAACTTTTTTCAATTAAAAACGTATATTTATTATTAATGTGTGTATGTATTTTATGTATATGAGTGCGGGCACATGTGTGCTGTGGTCAGATGTTTATGAGGTGCTGGGGACTAAATCTATGGCCTCTTGCATGCTAGGCAAGCTCTTTACCAACTGAGACACATGCTGAACCCTTAATGAAGTCTTGGTGGATTCTCTCATTCATTCATTCATTCATCCATCCATCCATTCATTCATTCATCCATTCACTCAGTGTTACTGAGCTCTCACAGTGGGTACTGGGTCACACTGACAGTCCTTTTCTTAGGTAGTCGTCATTCTTGGCAGAAAGGCAATAGATAAGAAATTAATACAGAATTAAAGCTAGTGTCTGATTAAAAAGTAGGTTAAAAACGGGCAATATATTAGGGTGTGGCATAGCATAGCAGTGAAGTTCTGTAGAGCAGGTGCACTTAACTGCAGTGAGTGACAGGAGAGAGACACCTACCCAAAGGCTTGGAGTAAAGCAGGCAGAGGTAACAGCCAGTACAAAAGGCCTGAGGTAGTTACCGGCTTGCAGAGAGGTGGAGCCGTGACCAGAGTTGGACAGTGGGGCTGGCTGCCTGTGCAGCGGGTTTCAGTCTAGTCACAGAGGGAGAGAGGATTCAAAATCTGATTTAGATGTTGCAAAGAGGCTACTGCATAGTACAGGCGAGTGAAGAACGAGGGGTGGGCGGCCGAGGTGAGGCCTGCTAGAGACAAAAGCCTGAGAAAGCAACGGGTGCCACTCGTGGACGTGGAGGTGCAGGGAGCAGCGCGTGTGGCGGTGTGGTGTTGTAGACTGAACAGCTCTCAACCACAGATGGCCTTGTCCTGTATCCTTAGAGACTGTATGTAGCTGTTACTTTTCTGTTGCTGTGACTCAAAGCAACTTACAGAAAGAAGATTATTTTGGCTTGTGGTTCCAGAGGGCTGAGAGTCCATCATAGTGGGGACATATGGTAGCAAACAGCAGGGATGCTAATGGGGACAAGAAGCTGAGAGCTTACATCTTCAGATAAAGCAAGGAGCAAAGAAAGCAAACAGAGATGGCTAGGCCTGAAACTCTCTAAGCTCACCTCCAGTGAAGTACTTCTTCCACCAAGGTTCCCCCTAAACACTCCCCCGACCCACCACCGACCACTCAACTGTCTGAGCCTATGGGGGACGCTTTCTTTTAAACCATCACATTCTAACTATTGCTTTAAAAAGACTCTACCTTCTCCTTTCCTGAGTGCCCCACCCACTTTCTTAGTAGTATATTGCTTTATAATTCAGGCAGGCTTGGAACTTGTAATCTTCCTGCTTTAGCTTCCTAAGGGCTGGGATCATAGATGTGTACCTCAAGGCCCAGTTTAAGGCTCCCTTTTTCGCAGGAGGGGTTCAAGACAGGGCATCTTTGTGTAGCTCTGGCTGTCCTAAAATTCATTCTGTAGACCAGGCTGGCCTTTAACTCAGAGATCCACCTGCCTCTGCCTCCCCAGTGCCGGGATTAAAGGCGTGTGACAATACCAGCTGGCCAGTTTAAGGATCTTGAGATGGGGATATGATTTATCATAGGTGACTGCGTGATGAATCAGGAGGGTCTTATCAGAAGTATGGCCAGTGGAGTCAACAGGAGTCAGGATGCCAGAAGCAAAAGATTGGAGTGACACAAGAAAGCAGGAAGCTTCCAGAAGCTCAGAAGAGTAGAATGTGGATTTTTTTTCCCCTAGAGTTTGTAGAAGCAGCTGAGACCAGTATATGTACCTATTTATGGTTCAGAATAGCAAGAGAATTATCTTTTTTCTTTCAGTGCTAGGGACTGAAGTGTGTGTGTGTGTGTGTGTGTGTGTGTGTGTGAGAGAGAGAGAGAGAACACTTGCAAGGTTAAATTCTCTTCTTTAATCCTGTTGGTCCTGGCGATTGAACTCAGATTATTAGTCTTGGTGGCAAGCACCTTTACCCTCTGATGTATCTCTGGAACCCCTTCCATTGTTTTAAGCTTCACAGATTATGGTGACTTGTCTCCATATCAACAGGAAATGGGTCCAGTGGGGTGGGTCCAAAGTGGGAGATCTTTGCTGACCACACTGATGCCAAGATGTGAGACTTGCAGAGTTGGAGCCTGGGCTGGGGCTGGGGTGGGTAGTTGAGGTCTAAGCCCAGGCCTTGTGACACCGGCATACCTAGCAAGACCTGAGAACTTCCCAGTTCTGACCACTCTACAAGGATACAATGCTGGCAAGTCCGTGACTAGCAGAACTAGCTTCTGTATGGTAGCCTGCAGCCTACATATGGAGGTTCTTCAGGCACAGCTCTCTCTCTCTCTCTCTCTCTCTCTCTCTCTCTCTTTCTCTGTGTGTGTGTGTGTGCACGCTCTCTCTCTCTCTCTCTCTCGTGTGTGTGTGTGTGTGTGTGTGTGTGTGTGTGTGTGTGTACAGACAAGAACCAAATTGGGGGCTTACCAAAGTCCTTCAGCTAAAGAGGCTGAGGAAGACTGGCAACAGGGAGGACCTAGGAAGGAAGACAGCTCAGCCCCTTCAGGTATTGAGCACCAAGCACCATGTACCTTAAGCGGGGTGGGGGTGGGGAGCTGGGAGGGTGTCAGTCAAAGAGGCAACAGGGTAAAAAGCTGGACCTCTGCTCAGGGATATCTTTGGACCCTGTGATTTCATGGAGGTTAGACTCTAGGGAAAAAAAAGAAAAAGAAAATGTGGCCAGCTGATTCACAGTGAAGAATGGACTTTGGGATGTCTCTGTCAGCCCCTCCCTGTCTTCCCTGCATCCCACAGCTTCCTAGGGGACTGGGTCACTTGGACCTTGCTACTTCCTGCTCTTCGGTCCATGGTTTGGACTATGGAGCTGTGGGTGCAGCTGAAGCAGGCTGGACTGGAGCCCAGTGGATTGGGTCCACTCCCCAAGGCCCTAAGGATGCCCCCACCGGAGGGGAACCCTGGTCAGGCCCTTATGTCTTCAGGGGCAGAACTTGGGGGTGCCAGGGAGCTGCTGCTGTGGATCTGGGAGGAGTTGGTGAGTAAAAGGGCCTTAGAGAGATAAGAGAGGGGAAGACTACGAGTGAATACGTATGAAGGTAGACAGAGTCAAGAATCAGGCAGGCCTGGGGCTCCTTATGTAATGTGCTGCCCAGGAGCCTGAGGCAGGAGAACTGCAAACTGAAGTTCAGCCTGGGCTGCAGATTGAGATCACGTGTGAAAACAAAATAATAAAATAAAATAAAATAAAATAAAATAAAATAAAATAAAATAAAATAAAATAAATAAAATAAAATAAAATAAAATGGTACAGAGCATGAGAGACAGGATTGGAGTCAGTCCCAGAGAACAGAGGTAGAAATCAGAGACTGAGAGCAGGAACAGACAGGACCTCAGATGGAATGAGGACTGGGAGAGACCAAAGGCAAGGGTGAGAAAACAGAGCCGGAGAGGTGGAGACAGAGACTAAGAGATACAGGCAGACAAGAGCCCGGGAATCAGGGAGGGCCCTGGCCAGGCAGGACAGGACTTGAGCTGAAACCTGCCCCCGCAAAGCTCTGGCAACCTTTCTTGCTCCTTGTGTGTATCTCGATCGTGGTCCTTTATTCCTACAGGGGAACCTGCGCCGAGTGGATGTCCAGTTGTTGGGACAACTGTGTGACCTGGGACTGGAGATGGGGACCCTGCGGGAGGAGCTGGTCACCATCCTGGAAGAGGAGGAGGACGAAGAGGAGGAGGAGGAGCAGGAAAAGGTGGAGGAGGAGGAAGAGGAAGAGAAGAGCTACAGAGGACGCTCTTGTGTTAAAGAGAACAAAGGGTCCCAGGGGAAGCAGAAGGAAGGCCATTCAGGGAGATCCTATCCAGCCCAGCGCCTTCCTGACTTTGAGATGACCATCTGAGGTGATTTGGGGTGACATGCAAATGAGACACAAATTTATGCAAAGGAAAGCGGAGATCGAGAATCAATAGTTCCCCTTCAACAGACTGCTCTACCCAAAGATGTGCAGTTGGAGGTCCTGCCATCGGCCTGGGTGCTGTGGCAGGGTTGATTGTAGATTCGGGAGGGTCACGGAAGCCACAGGTGTGTCTGTAGAGATGTTTGCAGTGTGGCCTGGAGACCAGGTGCTTGACAAATGCGATGAGATCTTGACAGACAGGTTTGAAGACCAATTCTTCGTAGTGTGGAGGGCGCCATGACCATTAAGCGATGGAAATGTGGTGGATTCAGACTGAGATTTGGAACACAACAAAGGTCAAACACCTCTATGGTAAAACCTCTCAACAGTGTAAACAACTCAACAACTACATGGTGAAGTGATATTTTGAATGTAAGGGATAAGATATTGATTTTATATGCTTTTATTGTGGTCGTATAACATAAAACTGATCATTTTAACCATTTGTCGTGTGTGGTGTGTAACATATGTGCACTTATGTGTGCGGGTGGGTGGGATTGTCTTCGATGTGGCTTTCCACTGTAAACCCTTGAGACAAGGTCTCTTCTCTGAACCGGAAGCATCCCATTGTGGTCAGTCTGGGATCTGCCTGCTCCCACCCCCCAGGCCCCAGTGCTGGGATTACAGGCCTACTTGGTTGAACCTGGCCTTTTCACTTAGGAGATGGCAGTCTGGTTTGGGCCTTTAGGTCTGCATAGCAAATGCTTTTTGCCCATGAACCATGCCCTAGACTCCTTCCTTCCTTCTTTTCTTCTCCCTCCCTCCCTCCCTCCCTCCCTCCCTCCCTCCCTTCCTTCCTTCCTTCCTTCCTTCCTTCCTTCTTTCCTTCCTTCCTTCCTCCCTTCCTTCCTTCCTCTTCTGTGTATGCCTGTAAGTGTGGGTTTGTACGTGCCACGGCATCTGTGTATGTGTGTGAGAGCAGGTTTGTGTGTGCCATGGAATCTGTGGATATCAGAGGAGGAGCTCAGGCTTCGCTTCTTGGTTTCTACCCTGAGATAGGATCTCTCTTGTTTATAGCTCTACACCACCTTACCTGGCCTAAAAGTTCTTTCCGAGTCTTCAGTCTCCACCCCTCAACTCCCCATGGAAGGTGCTGGGATCACAAATATTCACTACACCGCTGTGTAGCTTTACACTGGTTCTGGGTATTCGAACTCAGGTTCTTATACTCCCAAGGCAAGCGCTTTAGCCATCGAGCCATCGCTCAGGCCTTCCTTCCGTCGTTCCAATTGACTTTTGTGACAGGATTTCTTTACATACCTCAGTATGGATTATAATTCACAGTTCCTGTCAGTTATCTCACTGCTGGGGTGACAGACATACTGCTGGGGTGACAGACACACTGCTGGGGTGACAGACATACTGCTGGGGTCACAGACATACTGCTGGGGTCACAGACCTGAGCTGCATACCTGATCTGACTTCTTCAAGCCAAATACTCCGTTGCAAACATTAATCATATTTTCTCTATTTTTCTTTATTGGGACACTCGCTTAATTTCCCTCCCCCCTTTTTTTTCCTGATATTTTTGTTTTGTTTTTTGAGATAGGATCTCATCCAAGGCTAGCCTCCACCATGCTAGACAGCTGAGTGTGGCCTTGAACTCCTGGTATTCCAGACTCCATCTCTCCATTGCTGAGATTATAGGTGTATGCCCTCGTGCCTGAACCTCCAAAATTTGTAAACCTTAGGATTTGTGGAAGGGGTATTTGGGATAGAACCCAGGGCATTGTATGTGCTGGGCAAACACTCTACGATTGAGCTATGTCTCCGTCATTGCTCATTACTTTCAGGGTTTTAAAACATGGCTTCCTGAATGCTTAAAATTATAGTGTAGTATTTATATCTTTTTAAAAAATATTTATTGTATATATGTGAGTACACCATTGCTGTCTTCAGACACACCAGAAGAGGGCATCAATTCTCATTAAAGATGGTTGTGAGCCACCATGTGGTTACTGGGAATTGAACTCAGGACCTCTAGAAGAGCAGTCAGTGCTCTTAAGCTCTGAGCCGTTTCTCCAGCCCATTTATATCTTATTTTAAAATTTTATTTATTTTTATTTTAATGTGCCTGGGCATTTCACTGCCCGTATGGAAATGTACCAGAAAAGGATCTCCTGAAATTGGAGTTACAGACATTTGTGAGCTGCCATATGCCTACTAGAAATCAAACCTAAGTCCTCTGCAAGAACATCAACTGCTCGTGACCACTGAGCCATCTCTCCAGCCTCTACAATTTTAAATGTTTAATATAAAGTTAGTGGGAGCAGATGTGCCATAGCTTTACTCATGGCCTGTGCTTTTCCCTCTACTTTGAGCCACGCCCCCAGCCCCTCCCTGGGGGATTCTAGGCAGGGGCTCTACCACTGAGCCACGCCCCCAGC